GACTCTCCCTCAGGTATATTGGGCTAAAGCCGTTTAGGGCTTTAAAGGTCAGCACCAACACTTGGACGTGTGCTCAGAAATGTACTGGGAGCCAATGTAGGTCTAACTGGTGCTGTTTTAACATCCAGGTTAGATTAAACATGGGGCTGCTCTTGAAAACTGTTTGGAAACTTTTAATTAGTTCAGAGCATGAGAGCCCTAAATGGTACAGGAGCACTTTGTCCCACATGAGTCTGCCTTCCTCTCATACAAGTATCTAAGATCTGCCTTGGAAGGAAGGGCTTTTCAGAGTTCAGGTTGCTGCCGAGAAATCACAATAGCATTGTTGACTTCTGCCAACTCTTCCCATTCCATCCGCAATGGCCTGATTTCATGGGAGCAAACCACAGCAATAGTGAAGAGGTGTAGTAAGCAATCATGTGAACAGCATTAAAAATCCCTCCAGCTGGAACCTGATAGGACTGTAATTTCTAAGGACAGCTATGTTGAAATAAAACATTTTAGTTAGATCTCATAAGATTATAAACCAAGGTTAGGATGATCCAGGGTTTTCATACCAGTTCAAAACTTTGGTTGCAAAAGTTTCGTTAACGACGCTTGTTAGCTTTAACCTTGGTTAACGTTTATGCCGAAATAATCTGTAACATCTTTAAGTAGATGGGGTGAATTGAAATGCAAGAAGTGAGAGATTGAGAAGCAGGTATGTGCAGCTGTATACAACTGCATATACTCTTATTGTAAATAAAACATTATTCAAAGGATATACATCTGATCCTATTATTGTGTGTTAACATCAAGGGTAAGCAAAATATTGTTGGGAGTGGCGGTAACTAAATTCTCATAACCCTCTGGTTTTACGGTTCTAATATGAATTTTATGTAACAAGAAATCCTACCTTGTCCAGATTTATTGTTTAAGTAAATTTGTATCTGTAGAATAATCAAAAGCAAACCAATTATATCCAGGCATCTTTTTTATCCATCTGTTTGGATATAACCGTCTATTAAATGGTGTTTGCATATGAGGAAATGTTCTATTGTATGCATAGGTACTCAATTATTTAGATTATACATATGAATAAACTGTGCCGTTGAAGGAGTACCCTTGTAATGTAGGACAATTACATTTCCTACCACAGTTTACAGGTTATTAAACTAATATCAATTTGGCCCACACTGCTGAATATTGGATCTTAACCTTCACCCATGAAAGTCCTCTTCTTAAGGGTTACATTTACTGCTACCAGCCACTAGTCACTACCTACTGCAAGTGCTATAAAATGGTAAACGGAATGAATGCTGGATAAATAAAGACTACAAAGATATAGTTCAACCTAAAAGTGCATATTAAAATATAGGAAAGTTTAAAGCAATTGTTAAATTCTAATTATAGTTTACCCCAGTCTTAAAGGTATTCTGCCTGCAAGCAAAATTTTTATTATATTTGAGAAAGTGTATTTTCCCGGCTAAAAAATGAAATGTAATGATATTACTAAGAAAGTTATGTCCTGCTAAATTACGTTAACATCACTGAACTGGTTCCATACTGAATCGTTTGGGTTTTGAAGTAGGACGGGGGGAAGTGGTCAAATTAAAATTTGACCCATGTATTGATTCCTACGTTTTCTGAACTACTTTTTTTTTTTTTTTACCAGAACAACCCCAGTTCAGAAAAAAATAGTCATGCTTAAATACTATTTCTAAAGGAGCAATACTTGTGTGCTCCTGAGACTTGCCACAAATACTTTATGTCTCTTTGTGACTTAACTCATTAAAATTGTTGGGATGTAACATAGACATAAATAAGGAAGTTCCTATACAAAGACACATACTGGGATTAAATCAGTTTTGTAGCCCTCTTTTACCATGTTCTAAACATAATACATTGTTGGTCCATCATAATGTGGGTAACAATAGATTGCGTGTGCCACATACACACTGGTAGGTACAGTATATGTTCGAGAAAGCCAGGATTGATCACAGCCACAGATACATATGGTGGCAGAAGGCATTTGTCACCAGCTATGTGAAGTTACCCTGAGTCTTATTATCAGTTCATCCTATGATCTAATTTCTTGTTATGCCATTATGAGACTTGCACAATGGGCTCCACATTAGTGCTTCCTTTCCATTTGGAGAAAAGGAATTGAACATACTGTGTTATGATACTGCTGATATGGTGTGGGAAATATAAAAAGTCTCTTTTCATGGGTTCTCCATGATATTTTTTACTAATGTTAAATATCTGATGTTAGCTGCCCTGAGCCCGACTTCGGCCGGGGAGGGCAGGATATAAATAAAAGTTGTTTATTATTATTATTAGGCTACCAAAATCCCATGATACAGCATGGAATCGATCAACTGAGCATGCACAAAGAAGATTAAGCTTCAGCACCAATTATATTGCCAATGAATGAAAAAAATAATAGTATTAATAATACTAATCAGAAGTACAAAAGCAAATAATAACATGTCCACAATACATTTACGACATAATTGTTTTGAAGAATTGAGAAAGCAGTGCTCTCTGTAGGAGCACACACAGATCCCAGTGAATTTAGATTTAGAGCCATTGCCGAGGCTAAGAAAACAGAACTGGAGGAAAAATTACTGCTGCTGCTGCTGCTTTTCCACTTGGCTATTAGTTATTAGAAGAATAACATTGTGTGGATTGGCTTGGGCACATGCTAAAAATGAACATATTTTGACAAAACATTCTGGACAGGCTAAGCCACTGAGTTATGGATGGTAAGGATAGCAAAGATACAACCCCTGTGCAATTTAAATGACATGTTTATGGAGAGAGCTGATTCTGCATGTACAATGAAAGCTGTTTGCCTGCTTTGGCCTGTGAAGCCTTTGGGCTCCAGGGTCAATCATTTCCAACACTCTCAGAGCCCTGGGAAGCAAAGCAATGCAAAGGAGTTCCACAAAAATGTCATGGGGGGTTGGAAAGACCACTATTGTACAGCTTGGTTGGTTGGTGCAACACACTTGTGAGACAAGTTTTGCTCTTTCCACCGGGTCGCACAATTTGTCATTGCTGCTCCATTGGAAGACTCACCTTCAAAGAGATGAAGAAAAACAGTTTCATCGACACCTACCTGCATCCATGCTCTTGGAGTAGCAACAGCAGCAGTGATGGAATAGGCAGCAGTAAGGTAAGTCTTGGTCATTAGGAAGCTCCATTAGGGTCAATTCCCTCAGCTGCTGAGCACTTCAGCTTGGAACAAATTCATAGTGTTTCCTTGATGACACCTGGAGGCCTAGTAGCTTTTTCTGAGGGGGTGAAACCTGCCTAATCCAGACAAATGGATTAAAGCTGGGATTTTGTCTCGCTTCTCCTTTCTGAACCCTTTGCCCCCACCCCTCATCCTCTCGGCCAATTCACAGCCCTTTTTTGAAGGGCTCAGCCATACCAGAGCAATCCTGTCTCACGAACAGGATGACTCATTCTACCTACCACACCACCACATTTAGTTCCAGCAGATGAAATTGAAGTACCCCCCCCGGTGGCTCCTACACTGGTGGCCCTTCACAGCTGTCATTGAATTGTGTACAATGCTAATCATACTCAGAGTAGACCCACTGGAATTCGTAGACATACTGAACCTAGGTTCATTAATTCCAATGGGTCCTCAGAGGAGTACAGCCCATTTTATGTCCCCTTCCATCATTTCCCCTGCATGCTACAGAAGTTACCTTCTCGTACCATTAGCTGGGAAATCGCTATCCAGATCAGACGATGTGCATGTTGCCTGAGGGCCTCCTTCATCAAAAGGTTGCCCAGACTGTGGGAGGGTAGCAGATATGAGAACTCACAGAAAGCAGTGGCAGAGGATTTGCTCTTAGGGACAACCTGATTCAAAAAAACCCCAGGAGGATTCTGGATGTGGGTGATGCTGCCCCTGTTGAAGGTCCCTTTAGAGAGGCAGATGAAGTAATTCAGGGAACCTGCAGAAACTCTAGACTTCCGGGGTGGCGCCACCGGTAATGGCGGATTCCCTCTGACTCGGAGGGGACTGGCTCTGCGGAAATCGGGTCTGCACCGCTACGGCGAAGCGGGGACCCTTTAAAAATCACAGGCGGGTGAAGCCTGTGACCATGGGACTCGGCGGGCACCTTTTGCGCCCCCCCCAACTTGCAAAGGAGCCCGATTACGGGTTCCGGAGCGGAGCGGGGAAGTGGCGCGGTGCTGTGAGTCAACTGCTTCTTCCGTGGAGCGAAGCCGCACAGCCGTTACCGGAGAGCGCTGCCTTTTTCCTGGGACAATTTGGTTACAAAACAACGATCCGTGAGTAGGCTAATTTCGGAAATAAAGGAACAAAGAAGTAATTTGGCACCGAAGCGGAGAGGCATAAACAGGAAGTCTGCCTTCCGTTTTTTGTAAATAGAGTAAAGCAATGAACTTGTAAGCGGAAACTTTGAAAGACGTTGGAAAAGGATTATAATTCTAACATCAACTAAGCGACTTTCCCCCCTTGATTGCAGGGGAGGAGGGGGGAAAGGTCTGAACTGTATTTCTCTGCAAAAAGAGAGAAAAGGAAGCTAAAATCCACCGCTTAGAACCTGGGAACGGATTGCCAGTGAACAATAAGAATGCCGTACTGTGAAATGTGCTGTTGCTGAAAGTACTCTTTGACAGTTAACTCTGCAAGTGAGATACAACTAAGATACAATATTTCTGGATGGCTTCTCCTGGTTTTAAAGTAACTGAAAATAATTGAGATTGAAACTGTTGTCTTTTTTGTGAATTGGGGGGCTAAAGGAAAAAAGGTTAATTACTTTAAGACAATAATTTCTGACTGCTACTGTGTCCCCCTAGAGGAAGTTTGAAATTGTTATAATAGCAGCTGGGCCAAGGGAATTTTCCACTCCAAAACAAATTCTGATCGTGAGATTGACCTTGGGCCTTATCTAGAGTGTTATGGAAGATGGAAAGGAGAAAATAGATTTGCTACAGGGAAAAACAACAAGGTCTGGCAAATTATTTCGTACAGACGGTGGGTTGCAGCGAAGAGCATCAACATCTGGTCCTTCTGGTCCCTCTGGATTACCAACAGGAGCCGCATCGGCACAACCTAAACCCAAAGGAATGGCATCTGAAGATGCTTTGGCTCAGGCACTAGGTAAAATTAACGAATCTTTGGAAAAAATAAGTAAACAAGTAGCTGAAGCATCGGGCAAAATTGATCAAAATACCACAAGTATTAATAATTTGGGACAGAAGGTAAATACCAACACAGAAACCATTCAGAAATTACTACAGGAATCTACCTCGACACGAAAGACAGCTGAAGAGGCAAAGGAAATAGCAACTGCTGTAGAAGAGAAGATACCACCGATACACAAACAACTTGAAGACCACAGGTCAATATTGTCTATGATTGAGTTGAAGGAGAAACAAACGAATTTGAGGATCAGGGCCGTACCTGAACTTGAGAAAGACAATCTGACTGATTTTCTTATGCAGGAATTTGCAGACTTTTGGGACCTAGATTTGGAGAAGGAAGGTTTCAAGATAGTGAGTGCTTTTAGGCTTGGAAGAGGAGGGAGGAAGAACAGGGTGAGAGACTGTTTGATCACCCTCCAAACAAAAGAGGAGAGAGACAAAATCTTGACTCTGCATATCCAGAAGACTTTGGAAATTCATCAGTCAAAAGTAGAGATATTTAAGGACATTCCGAAATATCTTCTGGACCTTAGGTCCAACTATAGAGATTTGGTCGCCCTGTTGAGAAGCAACGGAATCATTTTTAGGTGGGAATTCCCCAAGGCCTATCCTTTAGTTACAAAGGGAAGAAGATAAAAATAAGATCAGAGGACGACAAAGATAGATTTTGGAGAGACCACGGAGAAGACCTGCAGAAGGAAGCTGCAGAAGAGTTAAGAGCACTAGTAAGTGAAACTTTAGACATACCAAGATTACCTCCTGAACTAAAAGACCGCCTGGAGAAGGTGATACCACCAACAGATCAGGAACAGGCACTGGGTGCAGTTGGAGGAGAAGCAAAGTAACTACATCATGGCTCTGCAACTATTAAGCTGGAATTGTAATGGTCTGAACTCCCTCAGAAAAGGAAATCTGTGTTTCATTTATTAAAAAGGAACAATTGGACTTGATTTGTCTACAGGAAACACATGTAACAAGGCTACACAGGAAAGTAGTGATTAATAAAAGACTGGGTCAGGAGTTTATTTCTTTGGACAAGGTTAAAAAAAGAGGGGTAGTGATCTATACAAAGGAGAGACTACTACCGAAATTTATCTTCAAAGATGACCAAGGAAGATTTGTGGCAATTGAAATTCAAACACAAGGAGAGAAATTTTTAATAGTAGGAGTTTATGCACCAAATGAGGGGAAATCTGAATTTTTTAAAAAAGTTGCATGAGACCTTGATGGACTATTTGGATTATAATGTGATTTTGATGGGAGACATGAATGGTGTGGTATCTACACACATGGATAAGGCACAAAGACAGGTAGTCACTAAGGACGGCAGATTACCGAAAACTTTTTTTGAGATGACAGACAACTTGGACTTAGTTGATACTTGGAGAACAAAGAATCCCTTGGCCAGAGAGGGAACCTTCTTCTCTGAAGCCAAACTGACATGGACAAGAATTGACCAAATATGGGTAACTAGAGGAATGGCACCAAAGATAAGAAAAGTAGAAATCTGCCCAAAAACCTGCTCCGACCATAATGCTGTGAAGATGGAGATGAAATTAACACCAACTGGCTCCTTCAGATGGAGGATGAATGACACCTTATTCATAGATGAAGAAATGTATAAAAAGGCCCAAAAAACCTTGAGAGACTATTTTGAGATAAATATGAACACCAATGTGGAAAAAAGAGTAATCTGGGACGCTAGCAAAGCTGTTATGAGAGGGTTCTTGATACAACAGAATGCATTAAAGAAGAGAACTCAAAATGAGAAGAAGGATAAAATTTTGGAGAAAATAAAAGAAAGTGAAAAGAAATTGAGAGCAAAACCTAAGTCGCAAGAGATTTTGAGAGAAATAAAATTACATCAAGTACAATATATGAAAATGATGAATCAGGAGATAGAATGGAAAATCAAACAAATGAGGCAAAAAACATTTGAGTCGGCTAATAAATGTGGGAAATTGTTGGCTTGGCAAATGAAAAAAAAGAAAAAAATTAAATACAGTTACAAATTTAGAAGTGGAAGGAAGGAATATACAGAACCCAGTTGAGATTAGAAATTGTTTCCAGAGGTACTTTAAACAATTATATACACAAGGACCACAGAAAGAAATTGATTTAGATCGATTTCTGAAAACAAATGGATTACAAAAAATCTCTCAGGAAAGTAAATCAATGTTGAATTATAAAATAACAGAACAGGAGATAGAAGGTGCCATTCAGAATATGCAACTAGGTAAATCTCCAGGACCGGATGGACTGACCTCTAAATATTACAGATCCTTAAAAGAATGGTTGGTACAACCTTTGAAGGAAGTCTGTAACGAAATAATGGGTGGGAAAAGGGCACCAGAGTCGTGGAAAGAAGCGTATATTACACTTGTACCGAAAACAGAGACTGAAAAGACGCAACTTAAGAACTACCGCCCCATCTCATTGCTTAATGTGGATTATAAAATCTTTGCAGACATTTTGGCTAAAAGACTAAAAAAAGTGTTAATGGAAGAGATTCATAAAGACCAAGCAGGCTTTCTCCCGGGTAGACACTTGTCGGAAACATAATCAACATCTTAGAAAAATTAGAAGTGAACATAAATACTAAGGCAGTTTTGATATTTGTGGACGCGGAGAAAGCTTTTGACAATATTTCCTGGAGCTTTATGAAGAAGAACCTACAGGGGATGAGGGTAGGCCAAGGCTTTGAAAACGGTATAAGTGCAATTTATTCAGAACAAAAGGCTAAATTAATTGTAAATAATGTGGTGACGGAAGAATTTAAGATAGAAAAAGGGACACGACAAGGTTGCCCAATCTCCCCATTGCTTTTTATATCGGTCCTGGAGGTTTTGCTGATTATGATTAGAAGGGACCAGTTGGTTAAAGGTATACAAGTCAGAGCCAAACAGTACAAATTGAGAGCATTTGCAGATGACTTAGTATTGACGTTACAGGAGCCAGAATCTAGTACCAAAAGGGTTTTAGAACTGATTCAAGAATTTGGTCAGGTTGCAGGATTTAAACTGAATAAGTTAAAAACCAAGGTTTTAGAGAAAAACTTAACACCGATTGAGAGAGAGAGGTTTCAGAATGAGACAGGTTTAACAGTGGTTAAGAAAGTGAAATACCTGGGGATTAACATGACAGCAAAAAATGGGAATTTATTTAAAGACAATTATGAAAAATGCTGGGCTGAAGTGAAAAAAGATTTAGAAATTTGGTCAGATTTGAAGCTTTCGCTGCTGGGCCATATTGTGGCGATAAAAATGAATGTATTGCCTAGAATGTTGTTTTTGTTTCAAGATATAAGGACCTATTGGAAAACAAAACCCCAAGGTGGCTGTCACCGATGGAAGCGAAAGCTCTGAAAAAGCTCAATATAGAGGTCAAATGGCCGAAATATTGGGAAATTTTGGAACAAGATAGACTGAAACTGCAGAGTTTTGAGAAATTAAAAAACAAAGTGTGAGACTGGCTTCATTATTATCAGATAATGGAGGCATATAATTTGGACAAGAAAATTGGCTTCCAGGTGGAAAAATCAAAATTAGAAACAGAACTGCTAGAACCCAAAACTAAGAATCTGTCAAAGATGTATAACTTGCTGTTGAAATGGAATACACAGGATGAAACGGTGAAATCAGCTATGATTAAATGGGCACAAGATGTTGGACATAACATAATGATGGCTGACTGGGAACAGTTATGGACCACAGGTATGAAGTTTACGGCATGTAATGCCTTAAGAGAGAATATTATGAAAATGATATACAGGTGGTACATGACACCAGTCAAGCTTGCAAAAATCTATCATTTGCCCGATAATAAATGTTGGAAATGTAAGGAAACTGAAGGTACATTCTTTCACCTTTGGTGGACGTGCCCAAGGATTAAGGCTTTCTGGGAGATGATTTATAATGAAACGAAAAGGGTATTTAAATATACCTTTCTGAAGAAACCAGAGGCCTGGGCACGGTCGGCCAAATGGTGCTAAAGAAGGATAGAACTTTCTTTATGTATGCTACAACAGCAGCAAGAATACTTATTGCAAAGTATTGGAAGACACAAGACCTACCCACTCTGGAAGAATGGCAGATGAAGGTGATGGACTACATGGAATTGGCCGAAATGACTGGCAGAATCCGAGACCAGGGAGAAGAGTCGGTGGAAGAAGACTGGAAGAAATTTAAAGACTATCTACAGAAATATTGTAAAATTAATGAATGTTAGAATGATGTTAGAATGAACTTAAGTGGTTTAAGCAGCAATGCTATAAAGGCGTATGTAAAAATGGACTGTTAACAGGTGAAAATCCAAAGTTATAGTATATTAAGTTAAAGGACTAAGAGAAAATAAAGAGGGAAAGAAATTGCTGAATTAACTAACTGAATTGGAATACAAAAAAGGGAGGTATGAGGAGGTCAGGGAAGTAAGGAAATGAATGTAAGACATGGAAAGACTGATGTATTTTTAAGTGTTTTTTATTCTTTTCTTTCTGTATTTTGTATTTTGTATTTTTCTTGTATTTTTACTTTTGTCTTTTGTTTTTGTTTTGTTTTTTCTCCTTTTCTTTACTTATGTAATTCTTCTTTTTGAAAACTTAATAAATATCATTCAGAAACTCTAGGCTGAGCCCATTACCACCAGTCATGACTTCCCCCAAAGAATGATGGGAGCTGTGGTTGGTTAAGAGTGCTGAGGATTGTTAGGAGACTCCTGTTTGAATTGTAGCTTTCGAAGAGGACTAGAACTCTGAGAAGATGGAATTCTTGTTAAACCACTCTAAGAATTACAGCTCTGGGAAGGGCATAGATGGTCTTGTAACAGCCCTCAAACACCCTCAAACATCAGCTCCCAGAATTCTTTGGAGAAAATGATGGCTGTTCCAGGGGCATCCTAGTATGTACGGTGTGAATTTGGGACTGATAGGGGGTGTGGCATTGGACTAGGTGACCTTAAATTCCTGCCCAATCCTACCAAATCAAGATAACTTCACTGTTTGCCATGTTCTCACTAAATGGATCGCTTCTCAAGACTATTGCCTTAATGTGCAAGAAAGCATCTCCTATAACTGATTAACGCTGTCTCTCTGTTTTCTAAAGAGGCTCATTCACCTCTATAGATCTTTCTCCTGTGGGCCTTCATTTACCATTCTGACATAATCTAGTGCCGCACTGTGTGATGCTGATGATGTTTTTGTCAACGTGAAGAATGCAGTGCAATTGTTGCAGAAACCGTCTAAGAAACCGAGACCTTAATATGTACCATCTGTTTTACAAAAAAGCTCAATGTGGTAATGCATTTGCAATACCAGAAGCAATATCTCTATGACATGAAATGAACATATGTTGTCTAAGAGCCTTCAGGCTGACATTGAAAAAAGAGAAAAGATAGTACTTCAAGGCAAATATTGTCCCAATAGAAAGACTGCCAGAACCAATATGGCTCAGTCTATTGACAAGTCTCTGGTGAACAACATCATATAAAGACTTTCACATTTATGGGTTGTTCAGCTCTATGCCCCATTTTTTTCCCCTAACAGGGGAAAAGAGTTTAAACCTTCATTGTCACATAGCCTGCCCTAGTCTTTCAGATCAACATATGTCGTCAGCTGAAGAAACATTGTCCATTATTCTGCAAGTATCCAATTTAAAGGGGGGAAAGTCAATAGAGTTGACAGCAGCTTCTTATACAATAAAAAAGCCCAAAGATGGAGGGAAAGGGAGGCAGGAGCAAGAAAATGAAAGAAGCCCATTTAAGGCATGCAATCAAAGCATATGAAAACAATATTTTTACAAATACTGAACATCTTTAACACAGTATTAAAATTGACACACCATCCTTCCTAGATAATCACATAATTATACCTAGCTGCAAATACAGCCTTAACAAGCATCTATTAAAATCTATCAACACCTCTTGCGTCCCCAATACAGCTGTGTGATTCCATCACTGGGCTGCATTAAAACCAGCTTTTCCGTGCAAAGTAGGAAGTGACCTCTCCAGACAACAGAACAACTCTTCTTTTCTTATCTCTGCGGCTGCAATCTCTTGGGTGATACGGACACGATTAGGCAATTGAATGTGCATGCGTACTCCATCCATATCTGAGAAGCGCTGATGCCAAAGTACTTACATTAGAAGTAGTCACTCAGTGCCCTATCTGAGGTTTTGTAATGTAGGAAGATATCATATTTTTATTTCAGGATTACCCTATCACAAATATTGGGCTTGTTTTTACCATTTTACATGGGAAATCCTTTGATAATTCTGACCTAATTAATAAGAATTTTTTAAGCATGCTTTTATCTTCATTAAGCTTTTGTATAAGGATATTCTAAAATCAATGTAAAATAAATTACAAATACGAACAAAAACCCAGCTGAATGGGTCATGTCACGAAACACATGATGAACGATTTCCCAATAAGTGGCCTTCATTAAAGCCTACAGAAAAGCGAAGGTGATAAATAATAAATCCCAAACATTTCAAGAATAGGGTGAAGAGGTAAGTGAATTTATAAACTAGGATTTAAAAGAGTCACTTAAAAAAAAAAAGGACATGGCAAGAACACTTACATTTTCAGCTGAAACAATGGAAATTCTCTTGCTATGGATTCAACCTGTTTGCAGCACCACTGATTTTCCTTTGAAATACTGAATTCCACACATGGAAGGATCAAACACCTTTAGAACTGCATTGTGGGCTCTCTGTGACTGGAGGATGGTGTCACACAACGGCAGGATCCAGTGCTAGCGGAGGAGCTGAGCTGCTGGGTTGGTGCAGTCACAGTAAAATAACTCAGGTGGGAAGCCACTGAATCTTTCAGTTCACTCCCTCTTCTCCCTGTGGCCACTCCTCATTGTCCCACCACCACTTCCCAGGCTCTGAGCCTTCTCCCCTTGGTGGTTCCCCAGCTGGTTCCTCCCACCATTCCTCTGTATCCAACCAGTCCATGACAACACAGCCCCCATTTGCACTCTGGGCATTATCCAGGTAAAAATCTACATATATAAATACTGTGTAGGGCCCTAAATAAAACATCAAGCCCATTCACATTGGCTAGACATCATACATAGAGATGTTCTTCTCCACATAATGAAAATTGGCACCATTTTATCTGTCCTAATGAAGCCACGTCTGTTTTGACCAACTAAGAATTTGTTGTGAAAATGGAAACATGGAAGCTATCAGAAGTCTATATATTATTTCTGTTTAAACATGCCTGGCAAATAAAACTCCAAAACTAGCCCACCAAAAAATGACTGCTAGCCAACCTGCCAGTCCATACATACCTATTACAATAATATGTGGCACTTGTTGTTGTTTAGTCGTTTAGTCGCATCTGACTCTTCATGACCCCATGGACCAGAGCACGCCAGGCACTCCTGTCTTCCACTGCCTCCTGCAGTTTGGTCAAACTCATGTTAGTAGCTTCGAGAACACTGTCCAACCATGTTGTCCTCTGTCGTCCCCTTCTCCTTGTGCCCATCTTTCCCAACAACAGGGTCTTTTCCAGGGAGTCTGCTGTTCTCATGAGGTGGCCATAGTACTGGAGTCTCAGCTTCAGGATCTGTCCTTCCAGTGAGCACTCAGGGCTGATTTTCTTAAGAATGGATAGGTTTGATCTTCTTGCAGTCCATGGGACTCAAGAGTCTCCTACATATGTGTCACAGTGTCAACCTAATAATTAATAATAATAATAATAATAATAATAATAATAACCCAGTCATCTGTGATTCACACTATAGCAAGGAACTGCACTTTGGTGTCCCACACCCAAGTGTCAATAAACTAGCCACTTAGCGACACATAGATCTAAAGCATTTACCAGATGAACCCCCTTCTATTAGAGAACTAGGTTAAGCATCTTGCCACCTTGAATCAGTAGATCAGGTGTGGGGAATCTGTGGACCTCTGAATGTTGTTGGTCTCCAACATCCATCAACCCCAGCCAGTATGGCCAATGGTCAGGGATGATGGGATCAACATCTGGATGGCTGCAGATTCCTCATCCCTGCAGTAGAGGCCATGCAGGGATTGCATCACACTCCTGTGGTTGGAGAACCCTTAATAGCTGGGTTGCCTTTTTTCTTGTTTTGTTACACCAAGGACGTTATTATATCCCCTGCCACTCAACCAGCTTTTGTCTTGGACTGAGTCTTTCAGGCTAGAAAACACCCAGGAGTTCTCGTGAGTTAATTTCCTTCTATCCCACCGTATTTTCCTGCTTTGTAGGATTAGCCTCCCTCCTCTTATAATTCTGTCAAAAGCTAACTCTTCTATTCTCCATTGTCACCTCAAGAGAAAATAAATTATATCTGGGACGTAATTTAAAAGGGAGGGAGGATGACAAACAAAACAAATGGGGTGGTTTTTGTGCGTGCATAGGTATATGAAAAGAAGAATTTAAAAGAATTCCTTAGCATTTCCCTTCTTTTGTGGAATCAGTATTATCTGAGCCCCCTCTGAATTTCCTCATTTGTGATAATGAATCCAGCAGAGCAGGTAGGAAGATTTAGATCAAGCAAGACAGAAAGCCAAGACTGAACTCTGACCTCCTTCCAGTTTCCCCTATGATGTTTTCCTCACCTGCCCTCATAAGAGTTTATGCCTTTCTTTGTCTGTTCAGCAGGCTATAGATAGTATAGTATTTTAAGAATTTGCCTCGCATCCATTTTTTCTTGTCTGTTTACTGTCACGATGGCACAATAAAATTCCATTTCGCCGTTCTCCACCCGTTCCGTCACTCAGCCTTGTATATATATATGTAGCTCATACAATGAACAGCAGTGGGTCATATAGTGGTGACTAATAAGACTAATAAGACTTACTCTGTGTTGGAGCTAACAAATCCTTTATCAGTACTTCAACCATTCTGCTTACGTGGCCTCATTGTTAAGATTATGCCTTTCATCTATGGGAACTAATCCCTTTCATATACAATTTTAGCAAGGAGCTTATAAAATGTGTATTAAAGCAGTATTGACTTGTCTAACAATAAAAAGTACAATTAGGCTTCCAACACAGAGCATTACTAATTTACATAAAAACCTCTCTAACCCATTCCTTTTACTGCAGAATATAACCAAAAGGTTACATTCTATAGCATGCACCAGTAATTTTACTCTAAAATCAGCAGATAGCTCTACCTATGCAGTGCTGTTCACTTTTCTCTTTGTGCAGATCTTTTAAAAAGTGAATTTCCATGACGAACATATCAATAGGAAATAATATTAAAGATCATTAGACAGAATGGCTGGATACAAAGGGTTCCTTTTATAATATCACATAATGCAATAATTCAAGACTGTTTCTTATCAAGTGTCACTGTCCTGATAGAATCACCCCAAGGGTCAGAATGGAAGCATAATTTTATCCCACCTTCTGATGGTGGTAGCTCATTTTCATAATGTACTATTTAGGCAAGAAGCTTATAAAAACCATAGAGGAGTGATAATGACCATTCTGTGCCTGGAAATGCATAAATAGTTAGGCTTCTACCACTAAGCATTTCCACCTAAGAAGATTACTAAAGATCCCTTCTGCTACATTTCTAATTTCCATAAACCAAATAAGTGGCATTGTCTCTTCACTCTCCGTATACTACGCCTTTCCACAATATTCCAGCACCTTATGTTAATATTGTGTCTGTGTATATTAAAAACACCCCAAAATAAAACAGACATAAAACCCACACAGCTGGACCTGGCTGTGAATACATCCTAATTCTATGACCAATTTCTTTCTAATTTCTTTTTTTATATTTCTCCAAACATTCTTCTAAACTTCCCTACCACATTTTGGTCTGAGGAGCAAAAGCCTTCCCGTCTCTCTGCATAAAAGGAATGCCCTCCAAGGAATTGCCATAATTGGAGAGGTTTTGCCACAATACTGATACAATGCAATACTCTCATTGTTGTTTTCTAAACTACCCATCAAATAAAAATCAACCAACTACTGCAGATGGTGTTTACTGTCCACAATATCTGCTTGAAGGTGCCATAAAAACTTCATCCTAATTGTTAGATAAAAGAGCAGTATCTCTTTACCAGAGTAACACAAGATGACATTGCCCCAGGACATTTCACATGGTGTAACACGGCATAATCTGATTAACTTGATCCCATAGCCCCCTGTGCCGGTGGAAAAACCACTTTTCAAGAGAGAGGACGTGCCAATACAAATAACAAACATCCTGTTTTTAACCATTTGCACCGGTCGGTTTGCCTATAGCACCAGAATCCTGTCAACTTAGATCATAATGGAATTATACAAGAGGGACTCCATCCCAGTCTAAAACCTGACTTCTTGAACAGCATATCTTAGCAGAGGGACATTTTGTAACCCTCCATAACAGATTCTGAGGGGGTGCCAAACCATTGTAGTGAATAGGAGAGACTGCTGAAAATCAGATACTTCGCTTTGTGCAACAGGAAGTGTTTTCCGGTTGTACGAAGCCACATTGGCTACAAAAATTACTTTTGATTTGATTTTATATGTTGCGTTAATGTCGTGTGTGGCTTCTCCCTTAGAAACTGATCATATAACGTCTTGGCACAGCATGAGACTCTTGATCTCAGGGCCGTGGGTTCGAGCCCCACGTTGGGCAAAAGATTCCTGCATTTCAAGAGGTTGTCCTAAATGATTCTCGTGGTCCCTTCCAACTCTATGATTCTATGATACAGCAAAATTAGGTAAACTAGGCTTTAATGAACAGAAAGGAGAGTGAGAGGAGCAGTCGCCACAGCCTGCTCCAGCTGGACAGCCCTTCTGCTGAGACTAATGGCACTGTGTGGGAATGTTGTAGATACTAGGAGATGATATATTGATTTAAAAATATCCTTCCTAACTCATGCTTGTGAGTCAGCATCAGAGTGCATTCCCCAGTATATAGCAGGAAACTAGTTGCTAGTTTCATTAGAATCTCTTTACTTAAGCAATGCAATCTGGCTTTGTCCAGATTGGGTTCTGTTCCTGGTAAGTCCCCTTTTATCCCTCCTAAAAAGAATAAAGGCACAACAATCTTCCTTACAAGTGATGAGAAGTTTACTCACATTCAGTTCACAGTTGGATGCCTGAAGGCAGGCTTTAGCTTGGAGTTTGCAGATACAGTGTGGCTTACATCCTTGTAAGGATGAGCCCATGTGCTGCTGGCAGAGAGCCATCAGTGCAGTCCAAGAGAAGGAAATGGAAGTAGAAGAGGGAAGATGGCTGTGTGACCAGCCCCTCTTATCTCCCAGGGTCACGCCCGCCCACCTGGTCACACGCAGGGGGAGGATGCTCCAGACCAGGTGTAACAGGAAGTTCAACTGGCTGGAGTAACACTCCCCATGTGTCCACTCTGGGCAAACAGGAAGTATTGTATTTGACTGCTCTAATGGATTACATCCCACACAGTGTGGAAAGGATCCCAGGAAAGTAAGAGAGGCAGATGAAGAAGACATCAGCAGCCAGCTTCTGTTTTAGATGACTGTCCCCTCCCTCACTCCCAGGGTCACGTACCACCAAGTGCCTCCTGGGAAGGATCCTTAGGATTTGCTATATGTTAATATTGCCATGTTAGTTTATTTTGTGTGCATGCACACAAGCTGCCTTGGAATAATTTAGTATCCTGAAAGGTGGGATATAAATAATTATAATAAATCAACTAATGGCCGCAATGAATGATGGTGCCCTCTAGAATCCAGCCCCCTGAAAGGTTTGGGCCATCTACAACAGAAAGAAAATGTGAGTCAGATCCTTTTACAGGGGACTTGCCACAGGATCACTACAATAATCACCCAAAGGTGAGAGAGATCAATTGTCTGTTTCTGCTGCGACACAGTTTCCCATTTGTTCCGTACTTTTAAAACTCAATTGCGGAAAGTGATGAGTGGTTTTAATTCTCCCTTTGATGGTATGATGAACACTTGGCTCAGGCGAGGGACTGCTTTATATTACACTGTTTACCCTAGTTTGTAAATCTGAAACACTGGTTATGGGAAAAGCACTAAAAGCATAGTTTATCTCCCCTGCTATTAACAGATATCATTCATTTTTACTGCCTACACCAAGGAGCTGAACAACAAATCGTTTTTTGCTTCTTCTTTTTTTAGAAGTGTAGCTGAATCAAGATGCCTTGCACAAAGAAACAATATACTTGCCAAGGGGGACAATGATTTTTATTTTATTTATAAAGTGGAGGTTTACAGACTGATTCAAACTTGGGGAGAGAGAGTGAAAGGGAATATTTATAATGGAAACAAGTAGTTGGCTTTCCTTGACATATCTATGAATCCATCAGGTTTGTATTTAAATGTAACTTACTCAAAGGAGACATAAAATAAATACACTCACAGAGGGTCTTTTTTTAAATAAAAAAAAATTTCTTGCTCGTGTTTTCCCTTGATCAGTAATAAAAGTAATTCCCTCTGTGAGTATATTATTGTGTATGGAAAACTAATAATTCTCTGGTTAACAGTGCCCAGTGCCTTCAGCTTTCTCCAGTAGGTTATATGGATTTCCAAACATTTTATGCTGTTCTCTTGGCACCTACTCCGGTTCATGTGTATTGAAAAATAGGGCACCATCTCAAACTCAGAACATAGTGGCTCCATACTTAAAGCTAAAGAAAAGCTGGAGTAAAAGTAGCTGTCCTTCAACAAAAGTAGGCCTCCTCAGATACACCATCACACTCATGTCACAATGAGACAGAAGACTACATCTAGTTAAGCAACCATGGGTTTTGTCTCGGACGACATAACCCTAGTTTGATTTGAGAGGCCCACACATCCAGACAGACAGTAGGGATTCAGTCCGCTACTGGTTCAGTTCGCAATTCACAGTGATACCCCTGCATTCAACCTGTTGGACCAAGTCCTTGGAACAGAATATAGATCTATGGTTTAGTCCACAGATCAATGAACTTTTCTGATGGCTGGTTTGACTATAATTTATATCAGGTGTACCATTTCTATTTTAAAAAATATATTTTTACCCAGCAAAATAGCTTCACACAACCAAAATTGGAAAAGGAAAAAACAGCACTCGGTACACCTCTATTTGTGTGTGATTGTGTGTGTGTAAATTTTCTCTTTGGTTTTCTTTTTTAAGGATTTCCCTGGAATTATCCTAAAAAACTTTAAGCAATCCATATGTGGGCATAGAATGATATGGACTGGGACTGATTTGTCAATCCCTACATGACAGGTAGTTCCCTCATCACTGGCACAAGAGTTTGTACCAGTAGTTCTCAGACTTTTTTTATGAAGCACTTGAAAATTGATGAATTATGGAAGTCATGGACCCAATGCCCTTTCAAAATGTGTTGGGTTGTTTTTGTTTTTAATATGTATTTTGTGTTTTTATATTGTGATTTTATGTTGTAACTACCCTGAGACCTACATGTATAAGGCGGTATTCAAAATTTATTATTATTATTATTAGGCTGCTGAGAATGACCCCTTTAACAAGTAACTTTTAAGGCATAAATTAATAGACTGTGCCAGCACCATATTATAAAAATCACAGGCCATAGGCCAGGATCTCATTAGCTTGTTTGATAAATCTGTCGGTGGTCAAAATGGCTGCCTTCTCCATTGTGTAGGGGTGGGGAATCAAGTTCTGGGGCAAATGCAGATATTATCAACTGTTCTGCAACACTTCTGCAGAAGATGACTTGATCTTACAGGCCACAGACTGCAGCCTCAGAAACTCTTGAATGGTATACAGCTACCTTTTACTGAGAACAGTCCTAGTGACATTAATAGACCTAACCTAGCTGTGTGCATTGATTTCAGTGTGTCTACTCTGCATATGTAGTTGAATATAATTTCCCAGTTTGTAGGAAAGAATAGTGTCTTGAAGGTACCCGTAATACGCATACCCAGTTGCGGTGAACATGTGCAGAGTATGCAGATGGTCTTCTAACTGCAGGCTAGTGGAAGAGACAGGGTGGGCAAGGGAGTCTGAGATAGGAAGTCTACAGCTCCAGCCCCAAGTCTTTGGTAGGAGGGAGCAGTGCTTGTGCTGGCTGAGAGTTGTTTGCTGATGCAGCAGTGGCCAATCTAATTTCTAGATGGCTTAGCATCCCATCCTTTCCTCCACCTTCCTCCTGAAGTAAAATACAGTGGTGCCTCGCAAGACGAAATTAATCCGTTCCGCGAGAGTCTTCGTCTAGCGGTTTTTTCGTCTTGCGAAGCAACCCTATTAGCGGCTTAACGGATTAGCGCTATTAGCGGTTTAGCGGCTATTAAAGGCTTAAAGGCTTAGGGGATTAGCTGCTAAAAGGCTATTAAAGGCTATTAAAGGCTTAGCAGATTAGATAAAGGGGGGGGGGAAGCGAAAAAAAATCTCTAGACTCGCAAGACATTTTCGTCTTGCGAAGCAAGCCCATAGGGAAATTCGTCCTGCGAAGCAACTCAAAAACGGAAAACCCTTTCGTCTAGCGGGTTTTCCGTCTTGCGAGGCATTCGTCTTGCGGGGCACCACTGTAGTGTTCAAAGCTTACTTCCCTTAAGTGGGTGGGCTGGTCCTGCCCAGTCGCTCCTCACTTTTGCAACAGCTAAAATTCTAAAGAACAGGAGCCCATTCAAGCTGCACTCAGATTTTTAAAAAGCACATTGACCTCATCTTACTGCCTATAAAGGTTAAGAATCTGATCGTTTAAAAAAAGTGTACACGTATAGAAAAGGATGTAATTTTAGCACCGTGTCATCAAACAGGTTGGGGCTATCTGACTGCTCTTCACTCAGCCAAGTAAATTAATCACCCCGCTCTAGTAAGTCACAGTCACCTAGGCCATCTCACAAAGGACATTTAAGTGACTTTGCAGTTTTTCCTTCTAAAGTTACTGAACAAGTCCTTGCTTAATGTGATAAATGTTTATAGATTCTTCTAATTACAAGTCTAGTTTAAAGCTAAGACTGCTCTATGAATACTGCTTTCCTTCACAAAGTTTCCAGGGTTTTCCTATAATAATCAGTTACCATAATGAGTTTTTCCAAAGCAACCATTTGTCATTTTCTTAAAATATATAAACTACCCAATATAAAGACAAATAGTTAGAGCCAGCCTAACCTGAGGCCTTCTAACAAAGGGTTTTCCATTAAGTCAAACCAACGGGAAAACCTATTGGGTTTTATTTCAAAGCCAGGATTGTTGCTAACAATCCAGGGAGATACATCTGTAGCAGTCAGTTGTCTTTGCAAAACTCTTCACACGTATCTGCCCACACGTAGTCACCAATTATTCCAAGCAATCCAACATAGACCTGTATAGCAATCACAACATCATTGCAAGCTTTTGAACCTGCCATATGGAACGATTTCCCCCTCCCCTTGCATGGTATTCTGGAAGTTCTTACAACCCCCCCCCAAAAAAAACCCCTACCAATTTGGGCATGGGAAAGCAGAGGGGGGGAGCCTATTGTGCTAGCAGATATCCTTACACAGGCCTCTGCTAGTGGGACCAGTTAGTTGAATTCCATCATTGTTTGCCGTGACAGTACAAATCTCCCATTTGCGGGGTAGGTTCAGTGGCAGTCGGCAGGTCTGGGTGGGGTTCCACTGCTTACCTGGTTTCCCAATGCTGGGATCAATGCCAGCTACCACAGAAGAAGATTGAGGATGC